GAAAATATACTGTAGGCTCTTATGGTCTGTGAATATCTCGCAGCGTCCGCCGTAAAGATAGTGTCTCTAGATCTTCAGAGCGTGAACGACTGCCGCTAACTCTAAGTCGTGCGTAGGATAGTTCTGCTCATGAGGCTTAAGCTGACGTGAAGCATACGCAACGACCTGGCCATCCTGCATAAGGACACATCCCAAGCCCTGTCTCGAAGCATCGCTGAAGATAGTGAAACTCCGAGAAGGATCGGGAATAGTCAACACCGGTGCTGAAATTAACCTCCTCTTGAGCTCCTCGTAAATAGTAAAACTGGAATGTACAAGCTTAGCTTAAAGCTTATACTTACTGATTGCATGACTTGAGAATCCAGTAATTTAATACTGAATACGAGACTTGATCTGAACTGAAGATACATCAATTCACAATTAAGGGATTTGTAGAATACTGCTGACTGAAAATGGACACTTTTCTAAAAGAAAGTGTTCCACTGATAAGACATGATCTCAAAACGAAACTTTGAAATATGTTGGTCGTCCTCTCCTGGCTGCTGGCGGATCTCCAATCGGAATGCTGGTGGTGAAGACTCTCTCTGCAATCTCCCAGTGTACTGAGACTCAAGCATGGCATCTTTGAATGGAAAGCGTCGGTTTACCATCATGGCACGATCTGTTGTTGTCGATTGGCTCTTCTTCATCGCGGCGAATGTCAACCTGTGGTACCTGCAACTTTGTACTCCCTCTGAGGTTAAACTTAACCTCAAGAAGAAGTCCATGAATGAATATCTCCCTCGGTTTCTCAGATTCATCAGAATTTGAGAATCGGGGTGCTGACATACTGAAAATGATGGATAAGTCTTGTCTTATTAGACAAACTATCCTTGATCTTAACATGACTGGCCTGAATACTCTCATGACTGAATAACCATGACTTGACTCTCATATGACTGAATCATCTTTATCCGAACTCTGAAAACTATCCCGAGACAACTTAAATAGTCGCTTCGAGATTGAAAACGTGATATTTACTGACTTACTTGACTTGATAAGGTACGACTTCAGGTTTCCAGGTAAATCTGAACTAATGGTCTGTATATCAGGCCGCTACCTTTTACCCGGCTGAACAACTATTATACGTCGACCTTATATCATGAACATAAACTGTAAATCGTGAATGTGAACTCTGTACTGTATAGGGCTGCTCCAGTATCAACTGGTCACTGGTCCCGCAAGTACAAGGTAATTAGCTGATCTTGATTTCTGAAAGTCATAACTTAAAATAGCATGACTGGTAAAATATCTGACATGACTGACCTGAAAGGTTGCTATTTCCTGAAATCTTACTGATTCGGCCCCAGCTTCAAGCCTCCATGGTATACCCGGCTGAGTGGCTCTTATTTCAAGCCTCCATGGTAACCCGGACTATTGACTCTTATACACTGGAAACCGTTACCTTAATAATGACTTGAGAATTATAACAACCTTTAACATGAAAATTCTTGCCTTGAACATGACTTACTGATCTGACTTAGGAACTTTTAGTCTATTCCTCGAATTAAATCAAGGAATTTCTCCCTGGAGTCTGCCAATTGATTGACAAAATGGCAGTTCTCGATAAAAAAATATCTGAGAAACATGATTATTAAGATTTGTTTAGCACGAGTGCTTACAAATCCTTTGACTAGTTGCTAACTTGACTTGAGTGAATCTGGAATTGAATCTAGAGTTCGCAAACTTAATCCTCTTTCTAAGGTTCTGAATCCACTCGTCCCCAATACAGGGATTTCCTACCCGAAAAATTTCTTAACATGATAGTCGCGGAACTGTGCGACTACTGTAACCTGAATAAAAACTGGGTGATCGGGTTCCCTACGGGACGACATCTGAACATTGAGAAAGTTTAACATTACTGAATACGTGATAACCTTACCGACTGATTACTAAGGCACACAGATCTCTTGACGAGTTGCCAAAAATGGCTGATAATTACTGACGTGAAACCTGAAGAACTCTAGAGTCATCTCGGAAGATCCTAACGTCTAGAGTCATATCTGAATGCCTGAATTCTAGAGTCATGTACAAACTCTAAAGTCTGCATCTGATTCGAGCATCTTAACTAAAGTCCTGATCCTCAATTCTGAGCATAGACAAAGTAATATGTTTATAACTAAAAAAAAACTGCATCAACACTTACCTGTCGTCGGCGGGGCGTGAGCATGACGGTTCAGGTTTTTTTTTCTGAAAAATTACTGACTGAAAACTTATCAGAGACGCCGAAACGTGCTCTGATACCAATTGTAACACCCCACCTTAATGTAAAATCAGAGTAGCGCAATAATTCGCAAAGTCTTTGAAAATAAAACCTTTTTACTTTGCGAAAACTGATTCGGGGTGCTACCGTGAAAAATCGTGACTTAACTTAGAAAACCGTTGTTTAAACTTAATAAAAACGTCCGGTTACTGAAAAACTTAATTTCTCAAAAGTTCGTCAAAATGATGCGTTCGTCAAAAGATAGCAAAAACATCATCATAAGTCATCAAAAGATAAGCGGAAGCGTAAGTCATAAGTATATTTATACAGTCAAAAAGATATATATATAAATATCCTTAAAGTCCCGTCATGCCCCGTCACGTCACGCTCCTTGCCCGACATCCTGACCTGAAAAACATGAATAAACTAGGGAGTGAGCACTAAGGCACTGTGCTCCGTGGAAACTCATACTAATGTAAAACATCGAAAATAATAACAACATCATGATATCAGTATATAACCTCCACCTCAAGCCGGTAAAACTGAAATCGTCACTCAAAAGTGACCCTGAAAATGTCATGCAAACATGACCCTGAATCGTCACTCAAAAGTGACCTTGACCGTTACCTCATCT